ATACACAGAAAAAGTAGTGCACACGTCGCTCAACGAAACAAAAGGCGAGCGAGCCAGCAAGAGAGAAGGGAAAAAGAGTGTAATCAAACGAAAAGTAGATGTCATCAAGAGACCAACAAATAACGTCAAGAACTCGAAACCGTTGGGTAATTACATTCTCAAAACGTAAAACTCATGGAATTTATGGCATTTTGAAACGTTGAACGCAAGCAAAAAAAAAAGACAGAGTGAGAGAGAAAAGTTCGAAACACAAAAATGCCCGAGTTATTTTCAATTGAAATGTATGAATGGCTGCAGCAGGCGATAGAGTGAGAAATAAGCGGTGTGGAGAAGCGGGGAGCTGCGACGCGCACTTTCCATCGTTACAACGAAATGAACGAACTCGACTCGACTCGAACTGGAAAGGTGGCCTGGGGAATGTATTGAGTGAACGAGAATGTGTCGGTCGCTGTGTGTATGTGTGCAGATTTACTATGTGTGTATGACCTTCTGCATTCTAAACACATCGTAATACATCCGCTGTTGTCTATCTATTTCTGGGATGTGATGGCATTGAATGTCATTTTCGTCAATCGCATTTCGTTAAAACAGAAGAAAAATTGAAAGAAAACACCAAACTCATGCAACCTGCAACGCAAAAATTCCGCACTTTTGTTGGTAACCCTCCATAAAAAGTCATAAATTCCGATTTTGATGCGCGCTGTCGTTTATCAAAATCAATGCTGACATCAAATCGCGCGTTTCAACCATTGAAAAAAATTACGTGACCTCTTCGTGACAACGAGTCCGCGCTATTTTTCGATTCCATATTTCTCTCTCTCTCTCTCTCTCTCTCTCTCTCTCTCTCTCTCTCTCTCTCTCTCTCTCTCTCTTTACCTGGTGTGTTATTTTTATACGCTTCTTTCTGTTGTTTCTATCATTGAATTTTTGTTTTCGTTCTGCTCGTCCAGTTAATGGCAACGAGACGGAGCACAGAGCTTAAGGAGGCACGACAAACATATACAGAAAAAAAAGAAGAAGGAGAAGAGCGGGTGGATGAGAAATTGAAAACTATTCTTAGCCTACTCAAAATAATTTCGCTGTGTGTATGAGTGTGAACGGTTGAAATGAGGCTGCCATACGCTATGCAGATGAATTATTTATATAAAACACAAAATTGATTTTTGTTTTCTCGTTGCCGTCGAAGCGAGCTCTGTCACTGCTCTACTCTACTCTGGCTATGCTTTGACTTTTAGCTTAATTCTACTCTACATCTGTTTAGTTCAATTTCATTCTGTTTCTGTTCAATTGAAGCTCAGTTCTGTGCTTTCTCTTTGCCTATGCTGCCTTCGATGTCATTTGGAATGAAGACAGAGACTTGTCTTCGGCAAAATGGCACTTTGACTACTGATGAACGGCACACAGCTCATTCGCTGACGAACGGCACATAGCTCATTTTCAAAAGCGTTAAACCATTCGGAATCTACTCATTTATGCATTGCAAATGGGTCGCGCTTTTCTCGCTTCTCACACGCCATTTCGCATTATAATTTCGCATTTCATTGCGAATGTGTTTGATTGTGTATACTCGACAGTCTCGACACACGGTGCTCATTTGCACTGCTTTGGGTGCGACGATCAACCAAATCGAATTAGGGAGGTAATACCAGAGCAGAATTTTAGTACCACAAAACAAGAGACTCATTTTAGTATTCGAATTGAATGAGAATTCCATTTCAACATCCGAAGGGAATGGGCTTGCATTTATTTTAATTAAATTTTTACCATTAAAATCACTTTAGAGTGATAAAGAGCGGCAAATGAATCTGCTCACAACGTGTTAATAATTCGATACAAACAAAAACAAAAACCAAACCAACACAAAAACCCCTCTGAGAAAATTGCTCAGTAAAAAATTTGCATAGTATAATCAGACGTACTCCGATTTCCATTGAAAAAATTATTTTTTGTTCGGGAATGTCTTTTGTGTGCGCATTCGGTGTGGTGTTCTTTTTTTTTATCGATTTCCTCATGCATTCGGTGAAATGTTTTCAAAAGCAAGTTGAACCTCTAAAGGTTGAAAAATTTGTTTTTTTTTCTCAAAATAAAAATCTAATTCAAAATGCTTAAAAAATATCAAAATTCGGAAAAAAGGAGAAAAAAATTCTATTCGCTATCTAATGGTCATTGATACAACAAAACGAACAAAAAAAAATGTCTAAGCCGAAAAAAGTTCAAACACAATCCAGTAGAATGAAGGTAGGAAATGTGCTTCTGTGTGTGGATGCTCTAAGAAAGTCCAAAGAATTTTGATTTTTTTTTTTATATGAAAATAGTAACCAATAGAAAAGAGAGTGAAAAAAATAGAGAGAATAAAAACGTAGCCAACTACAAACAGATGACAAAACACTTACAAACATTGATATTTTCTCTTTATTTAAACCGATAAAAAATCACGCGTTTTTTTCGTACACACAAGTATTTTTTTTCACTTGCACAAAATTTCCAATTTTCGTATTCGTTTTCGGTTACAACGCAAATTCGCTCATTCTTTCATTGTGTCGAAGGAAAAAATACACGGTTTTTCTCCTTGAAACAATTTTTCTCTTTGATTTGACGATTTTGATCTCTGAAGCGATACTCTTTCTTCCAATAAAACGATGTTTTCTCTTTCAAAATGACGTTTTTTTTATCTCTCGATGCGATGGTTTTTGCTCATGTGATGATTTTTCCTCTTCGCAATTGGCAATTTCTCTTTTTTTTTCCACGACTTTTCTGCAATCTAACGTCGTTTCTCTCTGGCGATTCCCACAAATATTGCGAATACACCGAGAAAAAAAACAAGAGAGCAAAAAACACACAAAACTATAAAAAAACAAACGCACACACACACAGCACCAGCAGCAGTGCTATTCAATCGCCAAACATTAGCCTTTATCGTCGATTATCTAAATTTGTGTGTAACACACAAAAAAACACCCTTTTTATCGCTGTTTGTCGCCACTTTTGTCATACAAACTCAACAACCGAAGCGAGAACAAATTACAGCACCGCAACTTTCTCACTCTCTTTGGACCGATGCGACGAGCTGAAGAGCGAACAAGCGCTCAGAGCATTAGCAGAGGACATACAAACGAAGAGAGATGAGAAAAAAAACAAATATTGCGTTTTTCGAATTTTCAGTGGTTTTACATCCCTCAACTGCTGCACATTCAATATCGAGTACTGTGCTTTTTTCCTTTCTGTTTCCACAATATGATTTCAACTCACACGTCGTTCGATTCAATATTTACAATGGATTTTCAATTTAAAAAATCACCAAATTGAACTTTTCAAGTGTCTTTAAAAAAAAAAACTGATTTCAATTGCACTGATTTTTTTCAGTATTGGGATTTTTTTCTTGCTGTGACTTCTTTTTTTTCTTCTGCGTTTTTCTCACACTGTGCGAGTTTGGTGAGAGACTGACAAACGGACGGGTTCGTATCGCGTGGAATTCATAAGACCAACTGATTTCAAAATGGCTATATCGATCCACATTCACTTCACGTACGGATGGATTTTTCGTAGTTTCGAGACACTGGAAGTGACAACCACCAATACACACGTATCACAACAGACACACAGTGAAAATACCACAGAAAATTTCGCCAACAAAACACTGCAACACAGATAGCGATGGAGAAAAATACAGACATTTGACAGTAAAACGATGCGCACACGATGAGCAATACACATGGATGGAAGTATGGTATTGTGTCACAAATCACTTGGCCGGGGGATGATCAAATGGAATATGCTGATGAATTATGCGTATTTTCATTTGGATTTTCTTGAAAATATCGTAAAAAAATCCGCAAAATGTTGTAAAATCAAAGGTCGACACGAAAGTCTTGACCTTTTGTGTATGAACTCCGAGACAGAGCTTCATAAAATCATTGCTAGCCGAAAATTGTCCGACGCATCACTGCGCATGCTCGACGAAAGTTCAAAACATGCACGAGAATTCTGCTGGCTTTTAAAAGGTTTTCAATATTCTGTTCGGACAAACGTAGATAAACGGCACTTCCAGTGTGAAAATCTGCGGAATTTTCAACGCGATACGTGTGTAGTGTATGCGTGTCGATTGTGGAATTTAGTAGAATGAATGAAAATGAACACAGAAATGGCAGTTCCAGTGAGACTAACGGTGAAATCGTACCATTGAATTGGAATCACATTGCTGGATAGTTGTGTGCTGTGGGCGATAGAGATAAGGTCGGAATCGCCGTTAAAAGTTCGTTCATTCGTCTTTTCGCTTTTATTGTCATGCCATTTTATTTGTACAGCTTCGCATTCGCTCACACACTTGCTCCACTATTTTCCATCTCACTCACTCTTCTTCGCTCTTTTCATTCCTTACTCTTTCAGTTTAGTTTCTTCCTCTCTTTTTTGCCTCTCTTTTTATCTCCACTTTTTCCACTATTTCGCCGATTGTGTTTGTTTTTTGGTAACTTTTTCCGTTCTCTCGATTTCATTTATTATAATAATTTCCATTTATGGCGACGATTTTTTTTGTCTTTCTTGTCTCTCGGTCGCTCAATGTGGTCTACGATTTTATTGGCATATACCATTGCAAAGCGTCTGCTCTTTTTTTGTTCCGGTGAATTATAAGGAAATAGTTGTGACGCCAATGAGACTCATTCACACAATAACCAATGGAAAATTTCCAAAAAAATAGGCTTTTTTGAACCAGTTCCATACCACACTAAGAAGGTGTTTGAATATCAACGATTTCATACCAACCGGGAAAAAATTGCAATGGAATCTTCGTTATTTTCTTGCCGGTGTCATAAGTCTTATGGAAAACGTATTTTTTGTGATTTGAAACGACTTTGTTTGGTCGAAAATTGTATCGTCATTTTACCTCATTTTTTGGTTGTAGTAAAATTTGATCAAAAATTTTCAAATTCGAACCAAAAGTCCTGAAAAACCAAAAAAAAATCTCCAACAAAAAAAGAGAAACTGAACTCAGAATCAATCAATTAATTTTTCAATAAATTTTTATTTCTTCGAATCGCTTATGTACAAAAGAAGCTTAAAATTAAATGAAGAAAAACTCGAAATTATACAAGGGAATTGGACTTAAAGAACTACTTCGAAACAAACATTTGGATGAAATAATAAATTACGTATTTTGGATTTGCGTCTAAATTAGCTGTTAATTCACTTAGCAAAGAAAAAACATGAAAGTACAAACGAAAAAGGCAAACGAATGCAAATGTGGATTCCGTTTCAGTGAATCTCATCTTCTTTTCCCAATAAAAAAAGAGTTATTAAAATAAATTATGAAATACGAAATAATTTTTTTAAACTTCTTTCGAAACAATGATGAATGTTCAACCGAAGAAAAAACGAATTCTTTTCTCTTCTTCATAAATGTGTATGTACAATGGACCAAAATCGATAAAATTTACTCGCTCGACGAAAAAAATAAAACAAACACCAACACAATTAAAATTTAATTACAGCCAAAGAAATCGAAATTGGTTCATTTTTGGTGTATTAGCCATTGGAAACAATTAATTAATTTTGCATAATTTTTTTTCTTCTTCAATAAATTGCAAACAGAAAATTACGTATTTCATAATTGGGCTTCTCTTAATGTTGAAATATCAAATAAATAACTTTGTCTCTTTTGGAATTTAACTTAAGAATGATAATTAAAGTGAAAAAGAAAACTAGCGGCGAACTAAGTGTGATTGTTCAAATAAAAAAGAGCGCCATCATTTTGACCGAGGATGAAAGTTGATGCTTGGGTTTTTCTTTTCAGTCAAGTCAACCTCCGATTCGCTTTCAATTTTGAAAGCTGTTCAGCTTCAAATGTGCGTTGGATTCGTTTTTCCAGTATTTTAGAGTGGCATTGTTGGCCACTTTCCATCAGTCAAAATAATGATGATGCATCGCTCTTTTTTTCTTCGCAACAAAATGTTCAACTAACAACTAGAAGCGTATGTCTTTTGGTGTGATGTAATAAATAATTTACAATAAATTAAATGATGAAAATGGAAACGAAAACGAAAAGTTAAACAGAAAATAAACATTGATGATGATTTTATTTACAAAATAAATAATCATCAGAATGAAACAGAAAAACAAAAGAAAGAAAGAAAAAAACGGAAAAATGAAGATTGATGGAAAAAACGAGGAAAACTTAAAGATTAACACTTAAATTAGAACGAAAACTTAAGAACGACATTAAAATAATAAACTTAAAACGAACGAGATGTGTTTGAACCCTGTTTTGTGTGTATCCGTTGCGCTCTCTCTCTCTCTCACTGCTATGGTGCGAAAAAGAGAGCATGTTGGATGAATGCTTGTGCGAGAGAGACTCTCATTAGAGAACCACATGCAATAGCTTAAACAATGACACCACAGCCTACCTCTTTGCTAAACGTGACCTGGAAATAGACAAAAAAACAGAGAAATTTAGTCAAATGCTTCAAGATTTCTTCAAAAATGAAATTTCTTTGAAAAAATTAACAAAAAGTGAAAGAAATTTGTTTACATTAACGAGAGAGAAAAAAAATGCAAAATTCCGTTGATGATGCTTACCTGAGGCAGATGCAATCGTCGTTTCGTTGACTCCAATGTGATTGAAATGTTGGAGCAAGTGCTCATGGGTCTAGTAGCCAATGAGCTGGTCGATTGTTTTGGCGTTGCAAATTCGGATGAGGCTTCATCTGCTGCAGCCGTTGTTGCAATTGTTGTATTCATTGAGCTAGTAAGACTGGTTGCACTAAACAAAGCACTGTTGGCGATGGCATTTGCGAAAGTTGGTCGTGTCGCGTTCGATCGTCGGAAAATCTCCAGTGCCAATGTGTTGCCTTGAATCTTGATCAGATTGAGAATGTCCATTTCGGGCATGGTCACGACATTGTGCTTATCCACAAATATCATATAGTCACCGGGAAGAATGCCGCAACGATCTGCTGACAGTCCAGCTTCAACTTTTTCAATGCGCGGCGGATGTGTCCATACAATTGAGAATCCAAAGCCTTTTTCAGCCGTTCGTGTAAGTTTTTTCGTTATCGTAAACGGTGTACGACCAGTTTGAAGTTCACCGGTTCGTAATGGAGTTGGCGTCGATTCAGCCGGTGCATCCAATTCCAAAAATCGTAAAAATAAATTTTCATCGGCATCACGTTGATGAATCGCTTTTTTCGACAGGGTCAACGGCGTACCAGCGATACCATCATCATTGTTGATGGCCTCATCAACGCTTGACTGGGAATTCTCGCACATTGCTATCGGCAGTGGATTTACCGTTAGACACGATTTCGGTTGCAATTTAACTGTGCCATTAATTTCCTTCGACGATGATGACGACACCGTTTTCACCGGTATCGATATGCATCCCAAGAATTCACTGCGTCTGTGGAAGAGAGACAAAAAAGGGAAATCGGTTAGAGAAATGTGAACAAAATGAGCTGGTGTGAATACTGAATAGAAAGGGAAGAAGAGGAGCGAGCATGAAAAATGGGAAGAAAATGGTGTTTGACAAAGAGGTGGGGAAAGAGACGAAAGATAGATAGAGAGAGAGAGAGAGAGTAATGACAATGTTTGTGCAGCTTCTCGCGCATCGTTATTTTCCACCCCATTCACTCTTTCCCTTTTTATCTCCCTCTTTGCCACTATCTCGCCGATTGCGTTTGTTTTCGGTAACTTTTTCCGCTCCCTCGAGTTCATTTATTAAAATAATTTCCATTTATTGGGGACGTTTTTGTTCTTTCTTGTGTTTTACGGTCGCTCAATGCGGTTTACGATTTTATTGGCATATTCCATTGCGGAGCGTCTGCTCTCTTTTTGTTCCGGTGAATTATAAGGAAATAGTTGTGACGCCACTGAGACTCGCTCACACAATAAAAACATGCCGATGGGGGGACAAATAGTTTTTGAATACTCAGATGGAAACTCTCTCACTGTCTTTTTCCCAGTGGAAATAGTGTGGGCATTGAACATTGGCTCTTATGCCAGAGAATATAAAAGCAATAGACAAAAACACTGGATATGTGATGATTTATTTAGATACTCACTTGAATTCACGGTCTCGATGCCAAACAGCCAATTGAATGCGAGCCGATTCATTGCCACATAAATCAAATGTAAATCGATGGTCGAAGTATGGACGATGCGAATTACGATGGACAGCCGTTCGCTGGAATCCATTGTCACTGCTTGACGTGGTGTCTGAGATAACGGCAACTTTAACATAAGCATTGACTGGTGCACCATTTGATCGGCATAAATCACGGCATCGAATAACTGAAAAATTGCAATTTAAATGCAAAATTAGTACAACGAGACAAAAAAGTGATAAAATTCAATTGAAAATATGATTGATAATAAATTCATTATGGAAGAATGAAAAAAATTGCATAAAGAAGCGAAAGAAAAAAAAAACAAAAAAATTAGCAAAATAAGAAAAAAAATTCTCCCGAAAAAGTCATGCTTGTGCATTCGGGTCGATGCGATCATACCAACTCACCGTGAATATGAATTTTGTTATTTTCACAGAAAATGGACAGATCCAATGATCCGTTGACGGCGTTGTTGTTGCGAACCGAATTCGATAGATTTGACATCGAAGCCATGGAATTTGTGGATGAGGCGGTTGATTTGCGTTTTTCCAATGAGTCATCGGTCGTTGACGAACCATTTCCGTTTGGTGATGAATCGGAAAAAGTGAGACATCTCCGGATGGCATTAACCGTTTCAATGTGTGTTGGTGTTGAGCTGGCTTGCAAGTCATTGGTATGAATGCATGGGGTGCTGTCCGATGACATTTTCGAGCTAATCGATGTGATGCCACAGTGTGGTTGTTGAGCATAAGTAACATTAGCATCGCTTGAATCAATAACTGGTGTATTCATATTGGCTAATTCATCGGCGGTCTTCTTGAAAAACGAGCTCATCACAAAATCACTGTCGGATGGTGTCTTTGGACTGGCGATTTCTGATGTTTCAGTTTCAGTATCTGGTTTCAATGATTCGCTTTGTTCCGTTGACAAATTGTCGTCGATGTTCATGGGCTCGGATTTCGGTTGTGTTTGTTGATCACATTTGGTGTGTTTTCTTCGGACGGCACGTTGTCGCTTCAAATGACAGCTATTAATTGCTTTCTTTCCATTCGATTTGTTTGCTTTTCTCGATTTCCTTTGCTTTGCCATCAGTGGTTCGGGTGTACGAACCTCGCGTTCGTTCACAGCATGCGGTTCTTCAAGGATGATTGTGCGTTCGGCAATCAATTCATCGGGTGAAATTTGGAAATTATCACAAAATTTATTCAAATCACTGGCTGGATCTTCGGCTGGTGTGTATGTTGGTGAATCGGAGCCCATTTGCATGAGCGCCTGATGGATTTTACGTGGTGCCAAATTCCGAACAATGGACGGCCGTTCTTTGCGAGCACTCTCCAAGATTGCATCAATCATTTTGTCCAATGCGGTGTCGTCCAAAGCGGACGAACTGAGCGATGTTTCGGTCGATGGAATTTGCATTTTTGGCACCGTTTTTGCTACGGGCTTCTTCATCAAAATCGCATCATCAACGACACATTCATTTTGATTTTTATTCATGTCGTTGTTATTGTTATTGCCACTCTCCCCAACCATTTCGACTGATGTTGGTTCTTCTTTCACAGCGATTTTTTCAGTCTTTGTTTGTTTGTTAGCGGCAGCAGCAGCAGCGCTGGTGCTGGTGGTGGATTTTTTGGCGCCGAATTTCAATTTACTGAACCGCAGTTCGGTGAGCCGGGATGACAGCGGTGTCATACCGGTGGGTGAGAATTTCAGTCGCTTCGATGCCGGAAACGGCTCCTGAAAGTATCTCGCCGCATTGAAAAATGAATCGGTGGTGACGGTGATGCTGTTCATGGCACTGGACAAAATTGGTTGGGTGGCTCCGCACGGCGAATATTCCACATCAAATGTTGGCAATGTCGATGCATATGGTGTCTGTTGGGTTATCACAGCCGCGTTTGGAGCGAGTGCCGATTCTTTGGGCGATGAACAAATTACACGATCCACCTTTGGTGAACCGGGTGGTGTTTTGGCCAATGGCCGCTTGCGGCTTGGCGTCATCGCATTCAATAACGCAGATATTGAATTTGAGTTCTGTTTTGGCGTTATGTTTCGCACATCTCGCAATGCATAGTCTAATTTCGATCCAAATGCAACGACTGGAGTGCTTGTGATATTTTGACGAAATCCATTCGGATGTGGCGTTAAGATTAACTGATTCTCTTTGTCACGGTTTTGAATTCGCTTCGTTATTTCCGACGATCCTAATGATTTTCGTTGACGCTCACGATTTGCTGTACGAGCTGGACGCGATAAATTCCCGAGTGAACGACGCGCATGTATTCTTTGACTGGTATTCTGTTGTGGGGCTAAGAGAAGTGTGGATAATTTTGAACCTGCGTCACCAGAACCACCCGGTTCGGCACGTTTGGTCCACTTCAACATGTTGACAGATTCACGATGACCTGGAATTAGCGAAAGAAAAGAAAGAAATTGAAATCGGTTAGTTATTGTGAGCGAAACAGGTGATTGAAATGTGATGAAAGGTTGAAAAAATGTTGATTCATTTGAAAAGAGAATTGAATTTTCTTTCAAAGATTTTTTTTCATTGAAAACCAAAACAATTCAGTTGCATTGATGAAAACTGTCAACAATTCAAAGAAACTGAAAGTTAACGGTCAAAGAAACGGTTTCTTCTTTGACAAAAAGAATCATTCTTGTTCTTTTTAAGACAAAAAGGATGATTTTTGAACAAAAAGAGTTAAAAATACATTCTTCCATGGGAAAATTTAACGGTTATTCGAGAAATTTCAAAGGAAAAAGAAAGAAATTCAGTGAACATAAAAAGTAAACAAATAAAAGAATCTTCAAAGTGTCACTTAACAAAACTCTTTCAATTGAATCCTTCAATTTTTTCTTGGAGACAATACAAAAAGTCAATGAATACATAAAAAGTCGCTTTTAATGTCAAGTTCGAAATTTTTCTATTGAAATAAAAAAAAAAAATGTTTTACAAAATTCTCGTCGAGAAATCAAATTTCCTTTTGTGAAATCAAAAAACCGGCTTCAAATGACTAAATTTTCAACAGTCACACCTCCTCATGACAACAAAGTAATTACAAAACCACAAAATTACTGCCTCAAACGAGAGAGAATTTGGTATTTGAATTGAACTCCGTTCTCATGGCAGTAAAATTGGTCAATGCCGAATGTAATGCTGTAATAATTGCCCGTATTTATGATGCGTTCCTCAATTACGTCGCCCAATTGATAGTTATCAGTATTGCATGCATGTGGATGTTAAAATAAAATGCATAGGAATGTAACACGAAGGCGAAAAGAGAATGAGAAACGCTGTTTGGTGTGCTTGTTCATTCACTCAGTCGTTCGCATCGTACGTTGAGTTGCTTGCTTTTGTTTGCGAGTGAGAGAGGGAGAGAGAGAGAGAGCAAGAGAGGAAAGGAGGGAAAAAGAGAAAGAAGGAAAGATGGAAATAGAGAGAAAAGAGAAAAAAAGAGAAGAAAAGAGAAAAAATAAATGGAACAAAAAGAGAAAGAAAAATAAAATGAATTCCAGGAAGAGACAGAGTCAGAGTCTCTTCTCTTATTCAACATGTCCTGTTTCATCATCGCAGAAACTGGCTTCAACTCACTCTCTCACTCTATCATATCCTGCATTGTTTACGTGTATAATTACGCGATTCGCTTGGATTGCGAGTTCCCAAGGACATTGATAGGTAAATGAAGAATTTTAACGATTTTCGGAGAGGAAACGGCAATAAAAGCCCAATAGATTATCAGAATATTCGCTTCCCTTTACGCAACGAATCACTCTTTTCCTCTCCACGGACTGAATGGAACAAAGACAAAAGGATCCTATTCTCATTCACATGAAAATAAAAGCAGCGATTAAAATCCGATGATAACAGACGGAACATGAGTGTGACACAATGCAGTCGGAAGGAGTGCAAGCAATTTATTATAATCCGTGGCATTTATTTTTCGTTGCTGTTGTTATGAACGATTATTTTGAATGAACATCAACGTTGAGGTTCTTTTTTTGGTGGATGGGTTTAAAGTGGTAGTTAATTGCTATTGAAGAGAATTTCAACGAACTTCGAGTTTATTCTTTTCATTCTTAGTTTTTGTCTTTTGACTTTTTGTTCTATCATTCAAATTTGACTTTCAAGCGCTCTTCTTTGGATTCTTTTCAATTTTAACTGCATTCTGTTTCATTCCAGAGTCCTTCACATTAAAAACAGTCGACACTGCCTTCACATTCACCGAAAAGTGTTCGAGGGTGGAATCAAAACGGTATAAAAGGGTTTCAACCTGTTTTTCTTCGGCAAAAATTCGTTAATTCACAGCCAACGCAACAGTTTGTTGAGTGAAATAAACTTTTGTCGCTATCTGCATTAGATGTTAGACTCAGAAAAACAAGCAGCAGGTGCAGCACCACACACACCTCCTTGTTAGTGCTCAGGCGTCGCTGTCGCTGTCGTTGTGTGCGTGTTCAAAGGCACAGCACGCGTCTAATGTTATCGCAGCCGATTGGAGACACAACGAACGAGAGAGCTTCTTTACGAAACATATGTTTTGAATTTTTGGTCGTTTGTGTTTTTATTTATGATTTAACATCTTGTTATTGCTATTTTTGTCTCTTCTCTTTCGAGTAGCGCTACACTGGGACTCTGTTTATGTTGGATGAGTGTAGTAAAATGTTTATTTTGGTGACGCAGCAAAAAAGTAGCAAAAAAATATTGAGATTTGAACAAAAAAGGATCAATTTGATTTGCGTGAACAAAAAATCGCTTGTCACCTGCATTTTGACACGTTGTCGCTCAATTAAATCAATATTTTCTCAAATGCTCACTAGAATGAACAATAGAAGAGCTGATGAAAAGACGAATTCTGAAGATTTAGAATAGAAAATTGTTATTTTTTTTTGCTTTTTTCGTAGTTTCAACTGCTTAAAAAAAATTATTTTCGAAGAATATTTTTCCCTTGAATTCCGAATTAGTTTCGATGAACTGCTGAATATTACCCATCATGTCGACCAACTGTTATTCGTTTAAACATTCTTCGATATTGTTATTGCACTTGTTCGATAATTTAAAGCGCGCGCACATCATCTGTTCTTATTTTAATTCTCACTCAAGTCAAATTGCCGAAAGAAGAAAGAAAAACTAATCGAATGTTGACTGTCATCGACTTAATTTAACAAATTTATCGGTTTTCAAGGCATTTATACAAATGAATATGCAATTTTTTCGTTCGAATAATTGCTCAACACCAATTTAACCGTCAAATTGGGAGACAATTGCTAGTTGTGAGCACGTGAGTTGAATGGAATTACAACACGATTTTTATGCGAAAAATTAATTAAATCGAACACCATCTGGAGTTTCATGTCAAATGGTGATGCGCTTAATTGGTTAAATGCTAGCTTGGCCTTGAATCGTGCCAATTTCGCGACTATTCAACGGTTAAACCCATTCGATAATTGCACATGAAACACATCTGCGCCACTATCATAGACGTTACGTTGACGGTTATTTTCTAGTTTTTTTCGCTTTTTTCTTTAATTTTCATCGTCTTTTTCCATATTTCATCAAGAAAATGGCATATTTTTCATAATTCCTTATTGTCATCCTTGAACATTTCTTGAAATTTTGCATTAAAACCGTCATTCCATGGCCAAAGCCGTTGTTTCTCTGCATTAAAGCTGCCATTTCTGAACAAGACTCATTATTTTCCAATGAAAACCATCATATTTAGCATTAAAACCGTCATTTTTCTTAACAGTCGCGCGTTTTGTAACCGTTTTATTCGATTGGCCGTTATGAATTGAACAACAACAAACTCTCACATTGAATAGAGGCCGAAGGAGAATCTCAAACTGAGTCGTTTTCAACAAGAAAAAAAAGTTTTTGACCGCTAATTTCGTCTTTTCCATTAAAAATACGTTGTTAATTCGATGCGTGAACGCATAAATCTTAGTTCTGATGATCCAAATCCACGGTCAAGCGTTCTTTTGACCATATTTCGGGAATTGTCATTGAAAAATTGCCTCAGCACCTCATCGTTGGACGATTTCACATTCAATTTATCGATATCCATTCGAGAAATGCGTTTGATTCTCATTCTAACGACCGAAAAGCTGGTGCAAATCAACGAAATTTCGTATGTGTGCGTGTTTGTCTCTGCGTGCATCGTCGTAGCAGCAGCAGCAGCAGCGACAGCGACTTGTAAAATTTATTTCCACCGATATAAATCATCGGGATTTCCATTCAGATGTATTGTTTGCCATTGTTTGTTGGGCTCCTTTTCACGTGAAAACGACGAGAAAATTTATTGGCATTTCTTTCTTTCTCTGTCTCTCATTCACTTTCAGCGCTCATTTACCCCACCGAAATGAGCAACGCAGCAATCATAAGATCATTTTTACATATTTATTGCATCCAGATTTCACGTTCGAAACGTGAAAGTTTTCTCTTCCAAGGATAAAGAGAGAGAGAGAGAGAGAGCAAGCGAATTATTTGCACACGATGCATTCGTTTTGGTCTCGGATACTATTGTTGGCAAGAACAATGCGAAAAAAATGTACAAGACGACGATGTCGCATTCAAAAGGAACGAAACAAAAGCACAAAGAGAAGATGAAGAGAGGAAGAATAGAATGTAGAAATGGTTTTTATTTATTGAGTGAATGTGTGCGTGTTTGCGCACACCGTGACCTTTCCCTATCGCTTGAACTGGCCATCATTTGTTTGGTCAGTCTCGGCTGATTCAACGAACGAAGCAAGCGACCGATGAAGAATGATACAATGTGCAAGCAGTAGCAAATTATGCGGTAAAGAAATGCAACACGGAACATGACTGAGAGAGAGAGAGGAGAAAATATGGCCATAACACAAAAACCAGATCTAACTGATGAGTCTTAGATGTATATTCTGATCAGTTGGCACGAAGGATCAACGACAAATGGAATTTAAATTCAACGAAACGGAATCGATATATTGAGAGATTAATGCCGAGGCTTGAGCCGAACAATTGACTGACGGAACGTAGGGAGAGAAATTAAATTTCCTTTAAATTCAGTTTGCAGACGATTTCGATTGGAAATGAAACGGAATTGAGGTATTTTTCGGTGACTATTGCAGAATTTTGATGGTATCTTGGTTAAAAATTGTGAAGTTTTTAGAAAAAATTGAACAAAATCGAAAGAAAAACTGAAAAATTCTCAAAAATAAGAGAAAAATTTCAAAAAATGTTCCAATTTCAATCAAATCCTTGGCCAAACTCTCAAATCAGAATAAAATTCGCCTAAAACTAGGCAACCGTCGTATCCTTAGCCTTTGCAGCACACAAGTCTATGTGCGTAGTGAATGGTGTTGATTGTAAATTGTGTGTGTGCACTTGGATTGTTGAATTCAGCTGCTCGGGGCTGCCGCCTGAGTGAAATGA